GCCGCCGCCTCCACCGCCGCCGCCGCCGCCGCCCTCCTACAGCAGCCTGTGAATCTGTCAGATCCTTCAGGATCTCTGCCCTCAACGTGTGTTCCTGGGCAGCTTCTCAGTCAGTGACTGTGTGCTCACCTGGGCCCCTGTATCTTCAGGCCAACCTGTCACCTCTGAAGAGCCACGGAAGGTCAGGGCCACCCCGGACTGGCGCACAGCCTGAAACCACCCAAAGATCTCTGGGAGCCACAGAATATTGACCAACAAATTATCTTCCTTAACTGCCAATTCTAAGTAAAATTCGTAAGCTGACCTCCCAGTACATCTCGGAAATATTTACGGAGAAGCTGATGCCAACACACGAAATGCTGTTTTCTCTACAGAGGGGGAGACAAAGAGGAGGAGGATATAACTTTTCTTGCAGTTTCGGTTCTCTCTTTATATTATGGGAGGACCGCCGCCTTATGAAGGAAGCCACAATGAACTGGTGCAGTATGAAACGGCTTCCGTGATCTTTCTGCTGCACCCTGAGAAACTTCACCATCTTCGAACTTCTCTTTCGTGATTCTGTTAATTCTCAAGGAGCAGCAACTTGACCAGTTAATTCTCCCGGGAGCAGGCCAGATCCCTGCAACAGGAGCACCTCGGGCTGGAGAAGGAAGTGCCCTTTCAGATGGACTCTTGCATGTTGAGTGTGCCTTCACATGTGTACCCACACTCATGCCTGGGGGGGATGTCTTTGAGGAGGAGAAATTGGGGCACAGGAGACTGTCTTGGGGATATGGACTTCTGTAGTGAGCTTCAAATCCGGTTGCCAATGAATAAAAGGCCTCAGAGAACAAGTCAAATGACTCAAAGCAACAGACAACCCAAACGTTGTCTTCAGTCCAGTGACATCATCTGGGGTCTCCTGGGGACTGCCTGACTTCCTTTAGCCTGGTCCCTTGCTGCTACTACCTTGAAGTGTTTGTCTAACCTCTCTTTCTGTTTAATTCCTTACTACTGCCATTAACCCTGCTGCAGGATTTGTGTCATCCTTCCTGCCTGGTTGCTGAGGCTCCATTTTGCTGCCACGCGTGGAGAAGAAAGAAGCAGGATTCAAGGAGTGTGTTTCTACACACAGTCTCCAATTGCCAAAACACCCCTTAAGCAGTAGAAAACAATGTGACATGTATATATTTCTAATTGCCTATCAGGAAGAGGAGTTTAATGGTGAAGTTTCATTGTTTCATCAACATCATCTTTCACTATTCATTATCATTCACCCTTATTCTTGCATGTTTAAATACTTAAATGTTTTAGCTGTAGATTAGTGGTATCCTTTTTAACAACTTTAGAGTGGGACTGCTCATATTATTTCCATTGAATTACAAAGTACTATTCAATTCTTACTATGTTAGAGTTAAGCTAATTAAAATCGAGTAAGTAATGTAATGTAAAATACTGTGAACTTCTCTTAACAAACACTGTGAATTAGAGGCTCCTCGGAACTGGAGTTTTGTATAATAGTTCATCTTGTTCATCTTCAACCTTTTATTTTAACATCATATGTAATTTTAGTTTTATCAATTAGGCCTCTAAAAAACACACACACACAAATATGCAAATCCAAAGAAGATACCTAATTGGCTATTTACTCCAAAACAACTTTCTTTTTCTTTTTCAATGGAATCAGACAACTTGTCAGTCACTCATGTGTTTTTAAAGTACGTCATTATTTTTTAAATGGTGCATTTGTGCTTCTGGACTATTTTGAAGCGTCACTCCGTTTACCTCAGATATCAATCCATCCTCCATATCTTTGAATTCAAGTTGTGTTGTGTCAAATTTACAGTTGTCAATTGATCTTCAAGCTGCAGGGGGCCTAGAAATGGCTCATTGTCTGCAGCCCCAACATGTGCACACGGACATTTGCCATCACTGCAAGCAAAAGTCTGGAGACGTTGGCCTGTGACAACGGTCAGGGAGTGCACGGATGAAGTCCCTGACACACATATGGCTGTTTAGTAAAGCTTGTGAAAAACTTTTGGCAGTGTGCACTATGTTGTATTGCTATATATGCTGTCTATAAATGTAGGTGTTAAAGATAAGTGATCTCAAATTTATTGTTCTGTAGCATCAGAATTTTAATAAGTTTCCTTTCAATCAATTGATTTAATTTGTTGCTGTTAATCAAACTTATGTTAATTGGATACTTTAAATTTTTGGGGCATTTTCCAACAGATGCCTTTATTCTTAAAGAAAAGAGCAAAGTAATTAAATTTCTAACGAAATTAGGGAGCAAAATAAAAACAAAGTAGATAAAGCAATATCAATTATTAAACAAAGCCAATAGTCAACCCTTTGAAACAAATTGGCAAAATTGATTGACTTTTGGCCCAAATTCAGAGAGTTAATTAAAAAATCAAGGAAGAAGAAGGAATGAGCTCCCATTTTTAGGCAAACTTGGAAAACTAGCTAAGGTCATCTTGCTAGAATATTGAAGAAGTTTACATACGTTTCTGAAGGGTCAATTCAGTTTGAGCAATTAGGTATTTGTAATAGATGCTGGAAAATGAAGAATTAGTTTGATTAAATCATGTGAGGTAGCACAGTGAACTAACAGGTGCACAAAAAGGGGCCACATCTATATAGTGCAGTCTGAATTTCTGTTTAAGTTTGCAGGTACCTCTTAGACTCCTGAATTGATCCAGTTGTCATCTGCCACAGACATTTAACATCAGATTGAATTTCAAGACTGGCAACAGAGAACACTGCTGGGAAAGACCTGAGCGGAAATGAAAGACCACCTGCAGAGATGAAAAGCCAGTGGGAACCAAGCTACATTTTCATCTAAGGAAGAGAACATCTTGTGGGAAAGTTCTTTGTTGTTTCAGATTGTAGAATGCTATCGAATTGGTCTGTGGAAAATTGCATTGTTACTATTTCTTTGTGTAATCACTTTAATGAATAGGGGATATATATAATCATAAGTAATTTTAGGGTGGGAGGGATTAATAAGTAATCAAGTGGGTGGGATTAGTTAAACAGCATGATTATATATTAGATATCTCTATAAGTAGACGTGTGTACTTGTGATCCTTTATCCTGTGATTGCTACCTTTAATAATTTCAAATAAACTCGGAGGGAACTGCAGGGAGATTAGCCTATTTAGGGTGACTGGAACATGGAAAAAAACCCTAGTGGGATAAAGTTCAAAGGTGATCAAATAGATCATTTAATAGAGGCTCTTTGCCTTGGGTATTAACTCCAGGGATTAAGATTGTGAGCAAAGTCTTTAGTGAGTTACAGGGTGGATAGATACCCTTTGAGAAATTGTTGCTGAAATGACATTGATATGATGTATGGTGAATAGTCATGGAAGTTATACAAAAATGGTGCATAAGAAATGGAAGTGATGAGTAAGAAAAGTTGCTCCCATCAGTCGCCCTCCTCTTTACCTCTTCTCCCTACCCCTGTCCCACATCCCTATCCTTCCCCATTATTATTGCTGTATTCTCTTTACTCTCTTTCTCTCAAATTACTAATATTGATGTTATAATAAATTTAATTAATAAAGATTTAGTGGTTAAGTGCAAATTGTGTCCTGATCATTTCAGCGTCCAACACCATCAAGGGAACAGGGTGGGGAAGTGGAGGGGTGAGGGAGTGGACACGATGGGGGAAATGGGGGTGGAGAGTGTGAGGTGAGGGAGTGGATGGGGTGGGAAATTGGGTGGGGGGAAATGAACAAGTTGGGGGTGGAGAATGTGAGGTGAAGTAAGGGAGCGGATATTGGGTGAGGGGATGGACAGGATGGGGGAAATGAACTGGGTGGGGAGTGGACAGGGTAGGGAGTGGTGGGGGACGGAAATGGAGAAATTGGGAGGGTGGGGCAGTAGGGTTGGGGGATATGGGAAGAAGGGGTGTTGAGTTGAGGGTAAGTTTCCAAGTTGGGGAGGCTGGTGAGAAAGTGGGATAAAGAATACATTGAGCCCAGCCGGTGTGGCTCAGTGGTTGAGCATCGACCTATGAACCAGGAGGTCAAGTTTCGATTCCCGGTTGGGGCACATACCCAGGTTGCGGGCTTGATCCCCAGTGTGAGGCATGCAGGAGGCAACCAATCAATGATTCTCTCTAATCATTGATTCTATCTCTCCTCTCCCTCTCTGAAATCAATAAAAATATATTTTAGAAAAGAAAAAAAAGAATACATTCAATAAGCAAACCAGTAGCAATTGTCCACAATACTCCAGGGAATCAACTAAATTATTACACAGCTGCAAAACTTGTATAAAATTAAGTCACAATTAATAGCAACTATTGACATAATATAAATAATTCAAGCTGCAAAGCTTTAACACATTAAAAAGCCACACAATAGAGATTCTATTGACAATATATAAATTTATTTTTAATATCAATTTTACATGGAATACTTGAGATTTATTAATTGAAAATTATAAAAACATAAGAGGACAAAAAGGAAGACATACCAAATGAAGTCAGGTAGTGATGTGCAGGAAATTAACACATATTTTTAACAACAATTAGTACAATATTAGAGTGACTGTAAAAGTCATCTAAAGAAAAGTGACAAATGAGGTTTTTGAAGTATTTAGCCTATCAGATTTTCAAAACATAATGACATTACTCAAAGTTGTAGAATAAGTTGCACATAGAAACCTGAACTAATAGCAGTAATCATTTCAATGCATATAAGTTGAACCACCATTATGGTGCACACCATAAACTTATACAGTGATGTATGTCAATTAGGTCTTAATAAAACTGGAAAAAGCACACACAACAGATTGCCATCTCATCCCACCCTCACCCCCATCAAAATAAAACAAAAAAAAAACTGAAAAGGAGACTCTTAATGAGATATCAGTTTTGAAGAGTCGCTGGGTTCATATGACATGGTGGTCACATAAACACGGGTTTATTGAGAAGGATACATGGAATACAGTAACTAAATGGGAAGATCTGGGGTAATATAAAAACATAACTCCTGGGAAGCAAGGTACCCTGAATAGTCCATCTAGCCCAGAGTTCACAGACTTTCATGGAGTATAGTGTGGTGGACAGAAATGGAGAAATTGGGAGGGGCACACAATCAAATGACTATCAAATGCCTGCCTGAGGGGTTATTTGTTTAAACTATATATATAAAAGCCTAAGCGTCCATTATGACCAAATGACCAGAACGACCGGTCAACCAGTAACTATGATGTGCACTGACCACCAGGGGGCAGACGCTCAATGCAGGAGCTGCCGCCTGGTGGTCAGTGCGCTCCCACAGACAACCTCCTGCGGCTCCTCCCCCTCCCCATCGTGGCCCATCAGGGGGGCTGGACAGGTGGGGGTGGAGGGGCCACAGAAGGTTGGCCAGCTGGTGGGGGGGAGGGGCCACGGGAGTATGGCCAGTGGGGAGGAGGGCCCATGGGAGGTTGGCTGGCTGGAGGGAGGGGCCATGAGAAATTGGCTGGCTGGCAGGGGGAAGGGGCCACAGGAGTTTGCCCAGTGGCAGGGGGGAGAGCCACAGGGCCATGGGAGGTTGGCCAGCCAGGGGGAGGGGCCGAGGGAGGTTGGCCAGCTGTTGGTGGGGAGGGGCCATGGGACTGTGGCCAGTGGGGAGGAGGGACCGTGAGAGGTTGACTGGCCAAGGGGAGGGGCCACGGGAGGTTGGCCAGCTGGTGGGGGAGGAGAGGCCATGGGAAGTTGGCCCCTCCCCCCAGCCGACCCTCCCATCAGCCCCAATCAGGGGGGAGGGGGCCGGCTGGCCAAACTCCCGTGGTCCCTCCCCCTGGCTGGCTGGCCCCCCCATAGGCCTCAATCGCCAGCCAAGCCGAGGGACCCCACCTGTGCACAAATTCATGCACCAGGCTTCTAGTGTGGTATCAAATCACTCTGAAACAGCAGTTCTCAACCTGTGGGTCGCGACCCCTTTGGCAGTCGAACAACCCTTTCACAGGGGTCGCCTAAGACCATCCTGCATATCAGATATTTACATTACGATTCATAACAGTAGCAACATTACAGTTATGAAGTAGCAACGAAAATAATTTTATGGTTGGGTCACAACATGAGGAACTGTATTTAAAGGGCCAGAAGGTTGAGAACCACTGCTCTGAAAGGAAACTGAAATGTCCTATTCATCCCTGTTTTTTTATACCTAGACTCCTCCCCATCCTGACCCCACTCCTCCCCATAAATCACATGATTAAACAAAACTTAAATGAAACAATAAAAGTTGCTGAGCCTCAAGATTGCATTACCTTTGATCATACAGCTGGATGACAAGGCTAGTCCAAAAAATTAAACTCACTGTACTCATCAATGGTAATATTTGTTGAAAGCCATGCCTGTTCTACAAAAAAATAAAACACAAGTGGATTCCCAAAGTGATATCAACAAATCTATTTATAGCTGCAGAAATTGCTTAAAGAAACCCTCTAATGCAGTGTAGTCTATGCCAGTTATTAATCAAAAACAATTGTTTAAAATGAGGACCACGCTCTATAACGTAAAACATAAATTTACATTTATTGGTCAATCTTGATAGAGGCCTGTTTCACTTTATTGGAGCTCTGAGTTACCATTCTTGAATAAATTATATCAGTAACACAAAATAAGTAACACTGGGAAAGTGCAGGACTCTAAAAAACGTATAAAGCAATTAAATATTAGTGTGGAGGAGAATCAGTTTTGATCCTTACCTCAAAAAATACACTAATGAATTCCAGATACACCAAGAACTACAGAAAGAAAGATGTGCTTAATGGTGGGGGTGGTAAACAAATTACTTAGGGATTAATAATAACAATCACAATTTAGCCAAATGGTTTTGAATTCATAAAGAACATGCACAGCAAGAATGAGGAAATATTTGGTGCATACCTATAAAATATGTGATAACTAACTTATTACCCAAACACCTAATGCTTTCCTTAGAGAAAGTAAATACCCAACTCCTACCCTTTACAATTTTTCTGGCTGCTTTGAATATATGTAGAGAGAAATCTGGATGGATAAATAATAATTAAATAAATAGATGAATGGATAGATAAATGAATAAATGTAAGTGTTCAATAATTGGATTTTTTTTTAATGTGCCGGAGATTAAGTAAATACCCAAACCCCTACCCTTTACTCTTTTTTCTGGCTTCTCTGAGTACATGTAGTGAAAAATCTAGATGGATAATTAATTAAATGAATAAATGAGTAAATGGATAAATGGATGGATGAATGGATCGGTAAATGAATAAGTGAATAAATGTGTTGAGTGATCAATAATTATTGATTTATTTTAATGTGCCAGACACTGGGTTAGGTGTTGGGGGACACAATGCTTGAAACTGACCTTATACTGAGATACCTAATGCAGTTGAAGGATGAACACCTAATGATTCTCCAGGCAAGTACCCCAACTTTCTTAGGCACCATGGTTGCCCAAAACATTTGGGGACAGGCACTATTATATCATCATTTAGTGCAAACAAAGAATTTGTCTTTCCTAATTTTTGGCATTTGAGTTTTTTTTCTAGAATATACTCAATTTCTTAAATGTTTATTTTTATTAGTGTTTGAGAATTCAAAAAGAGGAAGAGAGACTAGATGGTTTTTTCCTCCCTAATTAACCTCCCAAGAAACCCTTTTAGCACATAATAAAGCTCCCTAATTCTATTCCCAGATAATCCCTAGAGATAGTTGACACATTACATTAGGAATCTTGCTTCCTGGTAATTCAAAATAATTTATAGAATGACATTTAACCCAAGACAAAACTCTAAATAGAGAGAAAGTGATCCCCTGGAAGATCTTTAACTACTATTTTATATCTGGCCTTATAGTCCTTACATAAGAAAACCCACTGAATTAAAATTTATTATCACACCTGGCCAGCATGGCTCAGTGGTTGACCGTTGACCTATGAACCAGGAGGTCACAATTCGATTCCCAGTCAGGGCACATGCTCAGATTGCAGTGCAGGAGGCAGCCAATCAATGATTCTGTCTCATCACTGATGTTTCTATCTTTCTCTCCCTCTCCCTTCTGCTCTGAAATCAATAAAAGTATTTTTTAAAATAATAAAAAAATAAAAATAATTAATTATCACATACATAATTTGTATCACTGGCTAGTTCTTCTCAAGGAGTCCATGTCATAAACCAAGAAAGAAATAGGTAGATGCTCTATCCTGACACAGCCCCTCATGAAAATTTATTATAGATTTAAAAAATTAAATAATAAAAACATATTCTTTCTATTCTATTTTTAAGAGTTTTTATCAGTTTTATATCTCATTTACATCAACCTGTTGGTAGAATATGTCTAATAAAATACCACAACATCCTATCTTCTAGCCCTAAATTGATTTCAAGATTATGTATTGCTCATTTTTATAACCTGAGTATCACACAGATTTTATCACTGACTGGAGTTCTTAAGAATAAAAGGTGATGGTACTTTACTAACATTAGGGCCACAAAATTGGCACATCAAATTATCCTGTCAGTCCAACACTGACATAATGCCTAGTTCTGAAAACTAGATGTAAACCTTGTTACTAGTGTTAAAATCCAATGTTCACGAAT